TGGGATGGGATCCATGAGATGTTCCTGGAGTTGGATCCATGGGAATCCACCTTGGGATGGAATTCTGGGCAGTTCCTGGGATGGGATCCAGGAGATGTTCCTGGGGTAGAATCCACGGGATGTTCCTGGAGTTGGATCCATGGGATGAGATCCATGAGATGTTCCTGGGGTGAGATCCATGGGGATCCACCTTGGAATGAGATCCATGGGATGTTCCTGAGGTGGGATCCATGGGATGGGATCCATGAAATGTTCATGGGATGGAATCCATGGGATGTTCCTGGAGTTGGATCCATGGGATGTTCCTGGGGTAGAATCCATGGGAATCTACCTTGGGATGGGATTCTGGGCAGTTCCTGAGGTTGGATCCACCTTGGAATGAGATCCATGAGATGTTCCTGAGGTGGGATCCATGGGATGAGATCCATGAGATGTTCCTGGGGTTGGATCCATGAGATGTTCCTGGGGTTGGATCCATGGGATGTTCCTGAGGTGGGATCCATGGGGTGGGATCCATGAGATGTTCCTGGGGTTGGATCCATGGGGATCCACCTTGGGATGGGATTCTGGGCAGTTCCTGGGATGGGATCCTGGGGATGGGATCCGTGAAATGTTCCTGGGGTTGGATCCACCTTGGAATGAGATCCATGAGATGTTCCTGGGGTGGGATCCATGGGATGAGGTCCATGAGATGTTCCTGGGGTAGAATCCATGGGATGTTCCTGGGGTTTTGGGGTCCAGGAGCAGGGATTGGGGTTTTTGGGGTCCAGGAGTGGGGATTTGGGGTTTTTGGGGTTCAGGAGTGGGGATTTGGGGTTTTTGGGGTCCAGGATTTGGGGTTTTTGGGGTCCAGGAGCAGGATTTGGGGTTTTTGGGGTTCAGGATTTGGGGTTTTTGGGGTCTGACCCCGTTGTGTCCCCCAGAACCTGCCATCCTGGTCATGCACCACTCCATGAAACCCCACCCGGCCATCACGGCCACGCTGCTGGACTTCATGTGCAGGGTG